CAGAATGTCGCCCAGAATGCTGCAGCATTTTAGCCCAGTAATTTCCTGCAAGGAACTCACATAGAATTAGCCAGTTTTTTCACCTATTTTACTTCCAAATTACCAGCTTTCATTTCAAGAGGTACAACAATACGGAATTATGCCACAGTATATGCAACTCTACAAATCTAACTTAAAACAAACAATAAACGAGAACAAATACTCATGGACAAACAATTTTAGGCTATAAAACCAGTGGATAACTCTAATTTCTTAGAGTTATCACACCCCCAAACTCAGAGTGTTGCTTGTCCTCGAGCAAAACAAAAGTGACAACAAGATAAAAGAATGAACTAAAACAGAAGAAAAAAAACTAATGCATACTTTGTGGATAATTTCTCAAGAGATTTTTTTATATGTCCTTAAAACATAGGTTAGAAGTGCAGCCTAAAGAAAATCATGAATTCCAGCCAAATGTTGATTTCAAGTCATGAGATTGCTCCTTCTCTGCTTGGACCTTTCTTGTGTGTGTGTGAACAACCAAGTGCCAAATCAACAATGTCAAACTAGTTGGGACCATGCGCATGCATTTTACATCAAGCTCTTCTTAATACAGGAGCAAGCCCCATAAGCTTGCTTTTCAAAACTCTCTCCACTAATGTAAATCAACACAACACCAAGGGTCAATAGGACTTCATTAGGCTTGTAATGTTAGGCTAGGGTGAAGGTAGGATGGAAGGTAATATTTTGGCTCAACTCTCCTTCAAGCACCTTGCACTCTAGAACTTTGCAGTCACAAACAACATTCCCATGAAACTCCCCCAAACTCAAGTCTTGCTTTCCCTTGCCCACTAGATTGGCTTTTATTTCTAAATGCCCTTTTATTATACCCCTCATTTTTTTTTATCTACCAAGAATTGCCAACTTGCCTTTTTACGCGAATGCCAACATTGGTGATGAAGTCACCCGGTTACTCAACAAGTTACAAATCAAGGCGCTTTTCCTTTTTTTTTTTTTTTGCTTGCTCTTGCCTTGGTCTACCGTTTGACGCAAAAGTGAACATGGGGCTCATGCTCACTCCTGGTTACTAAGTATTCCAAAGCAGCGGAGCAAAGTTTTCTCTCTCTTTTTTTTTTATTTTTATTTTTATTTTTTTGGATGAACAGGAACAAGACATTAAGAGCTCAAGCTCTCCCTGCCCCCAAACTCAAAAACGAGCATTGTCCTCAATGATGCAGGAGGAGCAAGGAAAGAGCAACGAAACTTTAATCACCCACCACCTTATCTCCCGCACGAAGAAGGTGGGTATACTGCTGCAACAGCTAGGCTATGGATGCTCAATGGGGATATAAAAGCTAAGTTAAGGGTTTCAAGGAAGAAAGAAAAAAATGTATAAGCTCAATGGGGTATGCTAGGGATATGTTCAGTTAAGGTCGGCTACAAGGCTCAAACTGTCCAAAGATAGCCTAAATCATTCCCTTGGTAAAGTGCTAACTTGAGATTTCGCCTTAAGAGTTATCAAGCAAGTTCTAGAGCTTATAAATAGTTTCTTTAAAAATGAAGCTCATGCACAAGATCTTACCCTAAGAAAAACACCGAATCAATAACACCAGGTAGTGCATAATGGGAAAAATCACAAGCCAAGAGAAATCAATCAAAAGAGTTACAAATCAACACAAGGCAAAATCACCATATATATATATTTTTTATTTTATGAGCTGCACTTTTCTTAACAAATTTTTTTTTTTTTTTTTTTTTTTTCTTTTTTTTTTTAGCATGAGACTAAGAAAAATCATCACAAAGTATGCAAAAATAATCAATCACAAATAAAGATAACTACTCAACACAGGACAATGAAAAATAAAACAAATGAAAATTTATAACTGAGCGACAATGAGATATAGACGAGAGAGAGAGAAGTGGAAGGATTGCCCTGACTTAGCGCTGCCATTTTCATTCTCGCCACTTCCAGTTCACTGCACTCCGCAGTGTCATTCTTCTGGTGGACGCTTCAGGTGCGGTAGATTTTCCTTTCTCTTGGCGCTTGGATGCGACAGCCTCTTCAGGCTGCTACTGCTCAGCTGGAGGTGGGGTTAGAGAGAGTGGTGCTGTTTCTTCCGTAGGGCCAGGCTCCTCATCCTCAGATGAGGAACTGCATAGATAGTGAGGAAATTTTGGAAAGGAATAGAACCTCCTAGAATTAGCTCTGAAGTGTTTCTGGAGAGTCAAATCCCTTTGCTTCGTATATTTCCAAAATTCCCGCATTTGCTGCGTAGATTCATACTGTTGCACCTCCACCTGGCTGAGGCGCTGCTCCATGCGACTCAATCTAGCCACGATGTCGGGGCTGTTTGGCTCAGTAGCAGGCTCTCATAAGTGAGGTGCATTCGCTGCAGGGGCAGGAGCAGCTTCTTCTTCTTGCGCGTCATCGTGCAGGAGCCGCGCAAGAACATTCGGGGAAATGGCTGCGGATGGCGGCTCTTTCATTTCGTGCTCTTCAATGCTCACTCCATGAGCAATACATAACTGTGTGATTAATGATGGAAACCATAACCCCCCATTCTTACGCCCCGCACAGACGCCTACCTGCTGACGAATCATCCTTCCCACGTTTAGGGGCCTCCCCTTCATCATACAATACAGCAGAATGGCTCTCTCTTTGTGTACTAGGCGGTAGTGCGAGGAAGGCATCAGCCGGAACCTTAGAAAATGGTACCAAATCTTCGGTCCCGGCTGGAGGCACTCCTTGGGAAATGTCATCGACCCTCTGGTTGCTCTCCATCTTTCATTTCGTGCTCTTCAATGCTCACTCCATGAGCAATACATAACTGTGTGATTAATGATGGAAACCATAACCCCCCATTCTTACGCCCCGCACAGACGCCTACCTGCTGACGAATCATCCTTCCCACGTTTAGGGGCCTCCCCTTCATCATACAATACAGCAGAATGGCTCTCTCTTTGTGTACTAGGCGGTAGTGCGAGGAAGGCATCAGCCGGAACCTTAGAAAATGGTACCAAATCTTCGGTCCCGGCTGGAGGCACTCCTTGGGAAATGTCATCGACCCTCTGGTTGCTCTCCACCATTCAGTACCCTCAACACAAAGTTCATTGATAACTTCGTCCAACTGGTCCTCGTTTAAACTGTCTGCGAAGCTGTTGAAATGATCTTCCACATCCGGCAAGTCGTAGAGGCTGTTAATTGCCTCAGATGTAAAGGGGA